TCAGACACGCCCATTACTTCCATCTTAGCCATGTGGATAGTGACCACAAACGACTGCACGACCGATCCGTTTGTTTATGCATTATAACTTATATTTTGCATGTTCAGGCCGAGAGCAAGATGTCCCAGTCCGTGTCCAGATTTCAAGCAGAGGTGGCGGCCGTTATGGAGGTGTTACTGAAGGTGGCCGTCGTAGAGATAACGAAAGTTTTCGAAGGACGCGCATTGGATTGCCATGGCTGCACGGTCGACAGAGAAGCTCAGATCAGAGAGGATCTGGTTCGTCTCCCTGACATCAGGGCTCATATGGAAAGTGCATTGACTAATCTTTCGGACAAGATGGTTTGTAGCGTCGGTGTGCAAGTGGGAGAGACACTGCTGTCCAACCCCCAGGGTATGTTTTTGCGTAAACAACAGCCACTTCTCTAGCTGTGCATGTAGCTTGGGTCTACTTCCACATTTGTTGAATTCAACAGGAGTAAACCGGAAGAAGGCTGTCGAATGGCAAGCCGCTTTAATATACATTGCTTTAAAAAACGAATTACATGTTTTTATGTTACCGCCGGTAACGTTAATTATTTGTATACTTTATGATATTGCAGTTCAGTTCACAGATACTATACTTTCATCCTCCTTTGCTATTACTTTAGTCTCCATTCCAGTATTTAACGTTAGTTAAAATGTAAAAGTACAAATAAAAGTCCTTAAATATAATTACCAACAACCCAGATAGCAGGCCAACGTCTTTTCCACGTCGAGTCAATGTCAGTTTGTTATCTGGGAACTGTTTACTGTAACGTTATACCACACAGATATAACCCACTGAACATGATATATTTGCATTAAACATTTCTAGTAATATTAAATATTTTTAACATAGAGCAATGAAGAGAAGTACTTGCATTATGTAAATGTATATTGATTTGTCATAGTAAAACTGAGAGAGATACGCTTGAACACACTATAGGCTATAAGTATCTTTTAAGTATGTATAATTGTCTATATATATTCAGTCTATACGTCATTTGATGATGTACTCAAAACTGAAATACATGAGCAAATAGTGTCAATGGAAAATCAATAGATACAAGTCATTATTTGGAATAAGTACTACTAGCTAATGAATAGGTCATTATTTTAACTGAAAAGGTAATGTTTATTGGATTGGTTAAAAAGAAAAAAGGAAAAAAGGAAGGAAAAGGGTGCTGTGGTGTGCCGTTTCCTTTCTTCTTATTATTTTTTTTATTTTTTTACCTTTTTTGCATTGAGCTTTTTTTTTTTGCCTGTTAGATGTGCACACTTTGTGTTGAATTGTAAAAAATAACTAGTAACATAAAAAGAAATACTATTTAGTTGTTAGGAATAAATGTTAAAATGGTTCACCATATTTCGAAAAGTAGTTGCAGCAGTGCTGATTGATATTTCAGGGTTGAAGTCCACCTTGCTTGGGTTTAATGCAAACAATGCAGTTTGTTGTTCCTGTAAGTAAAGTTTATTTATAGAGATAAAACCACAAAGTGTTTTACAAAGTGCAACCAAAATAATAAAATTGTATAAAATCAATACAATTGTACAGTGCACTTGTCAAAGCAGCACTGTAATAGACACAGTGTTTCTAAATTGTAATATATTGTATTCTCTCCCACCCCGAAACCCCATTCAGATCTGTGTGTGTCCACTGAGAAAGACAGGATTTATCTGCTGGATTCCAAAGGAGAGGAGGAGGGGCTTTCTCCCTCTGAGAGTCTTTGCAAGGAGCCTCCAGAAGCAGTGGATTTACAATGCATGGTTGACCTTCCATGCACAATCTTCAAAGAAACTGTAGGTGGCGCTGATTTTTAACTTTCTCTTATTTGATTTCGATCAACTACGTTTTGTATTTTTTTAAATTTAACTGGAAATTTTAGTTGTGATAGTCAGTCCACACATTCACACTAGTGTTTTGGGAAACCCAATCAAATTTTATATCAATATTATAAAAATTAAGACAGAAATGTATTACTGTTGTAAATTGTGATTGTACTGTGAAATAAATGGATATTTGCTAACTATAAATAAATAATTAAGTTCAAACCCATAAGCTATTTACATTGTGAATGCTCAAGCTTTTATTTTGGTAGTATGCTGGGGAAATGCTTTAGGCATCTGTCTTAAAAAAAATGTAAATTCTGCAATAGATATTAATATGAATTTAAATGCTGAAATATACTGCACCAAAGATTTGCAACAATTCTATTTCTTTTCCCTTATTGACCAAGTCATATATATTGTTTACTGTTTTTCAGGAGATTGGACTGGGGATAGGAGATCCCTTAATTCATGGCACCCCACGGACAGATGACTTGAAAAAACCAGAGACAATTCAGGAAAATGGTATGAAGAAACTAGACCAGCTTGATTCATAATCCTTTATATTTAACTGCATAAGCTGAATAAATTTTTTTTCTTGCAAATCTATCGAGAAATAAACTGATTCTCAAAAAAATAAATGTTTTATTTACAAAAATATTAAAGTCCCCGTGAACCGGAAGTTGCAAACGATTTTTCTCCAGTGCTGTGACGTATTTCCAAGTGAAACGGAATATTGAACAGAGGGCAGGGTTTTACTCTAGCGCTCCTCCTCTCCATCTCTCGCTCATAGCAAACTAACGGTTTGAGGGGAGTGGTTAAGCGTTTCCCCACCCAAGCTGTGAAACCTACGTCATCAGAAAAAGAAACCGTTCCAGACCGGAAGTAACTTTTCAGATTTTGATTAAAGATTACCAAGGTAAAACATTTTTTTATATATATTTTCTTGCACAGATTAATTGTTCACCACAAGACTAGTAATATGCGCTAACAAAGTAAATAGGTTCAATTTTGATTTCACGGGGACTTTAAACAAACTTTAATCGTTTTGCAAAAAACCTGAAATGACTACAGAATGAAAACAAAATGATTTCTTTTTATGCTTTTTTGTGGTCTCTTAGGTTTTCAAGGACTTGATGTTCTTGAGGAAACTTCTTCACACTCTATAGTAGATCCAGAGTCTCATCTATTCAGCTCTGTTCTAGGTAGCATTCCCAGTGCTGACCTTTCCATTGACGGTATAAACCAGTGGGACCATGGTCTTATGGAAGTAAATACTTTGCTGTCTGTTGAAAAGTCACCTCGCATTGAATCTCCACAATCAAGCAAAATCCCAACGGAGGCCACTGAACTCAGCCAGGCATCAGGTAATAGTGCTTTGAATGCAAAGAAGGTGCGTTTCCAGCTGAGCAAAACGCCTTTCGATTGCAAACTGTTGCGGCCTTGTTCTGTGCAACTTGTGAACCTACTGATGCTGTCAAGTGCGCAGAGGGTGAATGGATCCAACAAAAAATGCTTCTCTACACCCAAAGATCTGCGGGCCCACCAGCGTGTCCATACGGGACGTCGGCTGTGCTGCTTTAAAGACTGTGGGAACGGCATTTGGCGCCTACAGGGAGCCCTCTCACAAGGGCATGCTCATGCCTGCAAGATCTGTGGCAAAAAGTTCAAACGCAAGAAGATCCTAAAGCGTCACGAGCGCTTTCATACAGGCGAAAAGCCGTATTCCTGCAGAAAGTGTAAAAAGACATTTGCCCTACGGAAAAGCTTGCGAAGGCACGAGCGGTTCCACACTGGAGAGAGACCTCACGTCTGCCCACACTGCAGGAAAGGCTTCCGTCTCAAAAACAATCTCAAGGCTCACCTGCGCTTTCACTCTGGTGAAAAGCCCTTCATTTGCAACCTGTGCTCGAAGGGTTTTAGGATCCTCAAAAACCTTGAGAAACACAGGCTCACTCATTCGGCGCCAGTTAGCTTTAGAACTCTTCAGTAACGGAACAAATGGTTTGTGTGGCCTAAACCAAACGCCATATTTCTACCTCGCATCAGAACCACTGGATCCAGCCGGTAAATCTAGCACCCGAGTTGATGCACAATAGCAGACCGGATATCGGAACATTGGGGTGACTCATTTTACGTGTTCAGTTTTATTTGTTTCTCATTGATACCACATTGTAAATGGTTCTCATGTTGATTAGGGTTGTTTGTGGACAGTTTTCTTCTGGTGTAGACTTTGGTCTTGACTGCATATGTACTAATCATAAACACATCTTTGAAAAACAAGATTTTTTTTCATTAGTTTCATGCCACTAAATGTAGAAAATCCAGGGCAATAGTGGGTTCAATCCTGCAGTACAACATAAACAGACTTGACTAATTATTGCTTGCTGTAAATACTTTTCATACTTATATGATGCTTTTTTTTGTAAATACGACTTTTTATCAATCGGGACCTTTTTGACATGCCCATCTAGACTAATTCAAGAAGATTTGTGTGTGTGTGTGTGGTTGAACACTGGAGAGAATTGGATGCTGCAGGATTCACAGGGGTTTATATGTCCTTGTAATAATTTTTAAAGCAACATACTTTAGAGTCTTGTTTACTATTTGTTTAGCATGCTTTGCTCACTTTAAGCTTAAGCTAAAAAAATGTTGTTAGTCACTCTTTTGCTCGCATTTCCACTTTATTACTTGTACTTTTTAACATTTGATGTAATCTCTTTGTATGGACCAAGCTAACATTTATCAGAGAGATTATTTTATAAACATGCTTTTTTTTTGTTTATCTTGACCTTTTTTTTGTACAAAAAAAACTTTATGCTTTAAATCACATGATTTTAGTTTGACATGAAAAACTTGTAACATTTGTAGTAAGATTAGTGAGTTTATAGCAAACAAAAGAAATTGTTTCAACCTTAGCTTTTGCTTTAAATCCTCTTTTTTACCATTATGACAAACCTATATAGTTCATTTTTGAATAAACAATAACCTCATATCTTTGTTTAATGGGTTGTGTTTTTTTATCAAAAGGCTCAATGTGTTTGTGTGTATTTTCTTGCTGCTGGAGAATTTGGGTAACACAGTCTCATCCCAAGACGTCATATAACTGACGTCTTGGGGCGTATTTTGACCATACGTCAATATCCGCCTTTTTAGGGCCCCCTTAAACGTCGGTAGATGGCGATCCCGGGCCGTCATACAACTGACGCTTTACCTTTAACGTCAGTTAGGTGACGGGTTAGGTTTAGGTATGGGGTAGAGTTAGGATCCCATAACCTCATCTACCGACGTTTAAGGGGGCCCTAAAAAGGCGAATATTGACGTATGGTCAAAAGACGTCCCAAAACGTCAGTTATATGACGTCTTGGGATGAGACCGGGTTGATTTGGTGGCCACCAAAGCACTTTACATTTGCCTCACATTCACCCATTCACTCACACACCAACCGCAGTGTCAGCCATGTAAGTATGAAGGTAAATGAGTAGCTAAACTCGAGAGCACGTAGATGTTTGAGAACTGTACAATATTTGAGAACTTGTACAATAAATATCCGCACGTGAACGCAAACATTTACACTCACAGCTCCGATGTGAAAACCTGTAAAATAAAAATCTGAACTTGAACGCTGAGATTTGCACTCACAGACAGCAGTCACAAACCTGTAATCTGAATCTGAAGCTGCAGACAAGCAGTCACAAATGTGTAAAATTATATTTGCACTTCTAACATTCAAATTCGCAGTACAACCTCAAATTGGCGCTGCAAGTTCAAATTTCGCGCATTGACTTTTGCTACTCTTTTCGCGATATATGAGGTGCTGCAAAACTGATTTACTGATTTGTGCACTTGCAGCTAGTGGCGGCCGGCGAGAGAGAGAGAGAGGGGGGCGGGAGCGGGGTGTTCAAACGAGCCGTGTTATTGGTTGGCGCCTAGCCAATGATTTTTTTTTTTTAAGATTATTTTTTTTTTATTGAGAAATAAATCCAAGTACAAAATACAGTATATACCAGGAATGCTTCACATGACAGATATTGTATATATTGACAGATATCACATATATTGAAGCATGTTTAAACAAATAAACAGGGATAACAAAAACAAATGAGAGGAAGAAAAACAAAACAAAACAAAAACTAAATAAATCTACATAAAGAAAGCTCAATATTTCTTTCTTTTCCTGTAGACACTTTTAATGTTCATATAACTTGGTAAACTAAGTAGGGGCATTAATTACAATACGAAGAATTCCTCCATAAAGTTTAACAACATTTCATTCTTTTTATTTTTAACTAATTTAAGTGACTTCCTCGGCGATTCAATCTCTATTAAAAATAGATTACATTTTGGAATGCATTTTGCAAATTTTTGTTTATGGATATAATATTTACCATGCAAAATGAAGAAATTCACCACATATTCACACAATTTGCTTCTGTGTGTATAAGAGCAAATAACATCTTTTAGAGATAATTTATAATTAATTTTTCTTGGGGCAAAAAGAAAATGACTAACATCAGACCAAAATTTTTTAGATAAATCACATTCATAAAACAAATGAGCCAAGTCTTCTTTGTATACATTACAAAAAGAACATTTGTTGTCAATGTCCATGAATTTGGATAACAAAGCTTTACATGGGTAGATTTTATGAAGTATCTTGAAATGTACCTCTTTGCGCCTAGCCAATGATGTTCTGAAACGCTAACATTTATACATTAGCCCATTCAAAGCATTCAGAGCCTGTGTCCATTACAATGGACATCACATTTCAGCCCCCTTTTTTAACTTCTGGAGCATTTCACCTAGTTTAAAGCCTGCAGTCCATGAGATTGGACGTTTGTCATCCAATCAAATTTCAGTAAAGCTCTGCATGTAGTAATTATATTTAAACAACTCTACATTGAAGAGAAGCATGGGAGCGCTTCACTGCAAACACAAGCAACATTTTCTAAGGTGTATTCTGTATATATTTTTGCCAGTATTTCATAGTTTGCATGTAAAATAGAAAGATTGAACGTATAAATTAAAGTTAAAAATCAACTGTAGAATTGCACGTTTTAAATCAGGATTTTTTTAAAATGTGTTTTTAAAAGTTTGAAAGCCTTTCTTTAAAAAAAAATTATTTTATAAAAAAAATATATATATATCACAGATACATTTTTTAAACTTTTTTATGTGCAGAATATACAGTTCTGAAGTGCTTGAACATATAACTGATGAAAATATCTCAGGTGTGGAGCAATGAGGAAAATGGAGATGTAAGAAAAATATCCATATTTAAAACTTTATAAAGTAAAATAACTTCCGGCCAAAAGAACATATGGATTTGACTTAAATCTAAAGCACAACTTAAATATTAATATTTTAAATATTTTATATTAATATATAATTTTTATGGATAGATGCACTTTTATGATGGATAGATGCACTTTTAATGGGGTTCCGGCTAGTATATTTGATAGACATTTTAACTAAAGTTCCTGTCGTGATAACAACTATTTTACTGCACTCAGCAGGCCCCCCGGGGTCCGTGGCACCAAGCGCTGTCCCAAAAATCCACAGTCCGCGAACCCACTATTTTTATAATGGCATAAATGCTACGTGGGATCTCAATATCTCAGCTCTGGAAGGGTCTAGAGCCTCCATTTTTGCACTCAAGTCCAAGTCTCTTGGCCCTCTATCAGAATCCAGAGTTTTGAGAAGATTGGAGACACTTATTTTTTCCGCACCGAAAAAAACAAACAAAAGGGGTACCACTGTCGGTTTTTTTTTTTGGGTCGAAATTTTGAGTTTCTCTGATCTTCTTGAAACTCAGGATTCTGATAGAGGTTCATGAGACTTAGACTTGAGTTAAAAAAATGGAGGCTCTAGACCCTTCCAGAGCTGAGATATTGAGATCCCACGTAGCATTAATGCCATTATAAATATCTCAATATCTCAGCTCTGGAAGGGTCTAGAGCCTCCATTTTTACACTCAGGTCTAAGTCTCTTGGCCCTCTATCAGAATCCAGAGTTTTGAGAAGATTGGAGACACTTATTTTTTCACACCGAAAAAAACAAACAAAAAACGACAGGGTTACCACTGTCGTTTTTTTCAGGTCAAAATTTTGAGTTTCTCTGATCTTCTCAAAACTTTGGATTCTGATAGAGGGCCACAAGACTTAGACCTGAGTGCCAAAATGGGGGCTCTAGACCCTTCCTGAGCTGAGATATTGAGGTTTTTATAATGGCATTATGCTACTTGGGATCTCTAAATCTCAGCTCAGGAAGGGTCTTGAGCCTCCATTTTTGGCACTCAGGTCTAAGTCTCGTGGCCCTCTATCAGAATCCAGAGTTTTGAGAAGATCAGAAAAACTAAAAATTCGACCCGAAAAAAAAAAAACGACAGTGGTACCCCTTTCGGGTTTTTTTTTTCGGGGTGAGAAATTAATTTTCTCCAATCTTCTCAAAACTCTGGATTCTCATAGAGGGCCATGAGACTTAGACTTGAGTTAAAAAATGGAGGCTCTAGACCCTTCCTGAGCTGAAATATTGAGATCCCACATAGCATTAATGCCATTATAAATATCTCAATATCTCAGCTCAGGAAGGGTCTAGCCCCCATTTTGGCACTCAGGTCTAAGTCTCATGGCCCTCTATCAGAATCCAGAGTTTTGAGAAGATTGGAGAAACTTAATTTCTCGCCCCGAAAAAAAACGAAAGGGGTACCACTGTCGTTTTTTTTCGGGTCATAATTTTGAGTTTCTCTCATCTTCTCGAAACTCTGGATTCTGATAGAGGGCCACGGGACTTAGACCTGAGTGCCAAAATGGGGGCTCTAGAGCCTCCATTTTTGCACTCAAGGCCAAGTCTCTTGGCCCTCTATCAGAATCCAGAGTTTTGAGAAGATTGGAGACACTTATTTTTTCGCACCGAAAAAAAAAAAAAAAAACGACAGGGGTAACACTTCGTTTTTTTTTTTGGGTCGAAATTTTGAGTTTCTCTGATCTTCTTGAAACTCAGGATTCTGATAGAGGTTCATTAGACTTAGACCTGAGTGCAAAAATGGAGGCTCTAGACCCTTCCAGAGCTGAGATATTGAGATCCCACGTAGCATTTATGCCATAATAAAAATCTCAATATCTCAGCTCTGGAAGGGTCTAGAGCCTCCATTTTTGCACTCAGGTCTAAGTCTCTTGGCCCTCTATCAGAATCCAGAGTTTTGAGAAGATTGGAGACACTTATTTTTTCGCACCGAAAAAAAAAACGACAGGGGTACCACTGTCGTTTTTTTCAGGTCAAAATTTTGAGTTTCTCTGATCTTCTCAAAACTCTCGATTCTGATAGAGGGCCACAAGACTTAGACCTGAGTGCCATAATGGGGGCTCTAGACCCTTCCAGAGCTGAGATATTGAGATCCA